TGTCACAGATTTTGTCATCAATGTGACAAAAAAAAAAAAAAAATTAAGTATTAAATCTGGAATTAGGTATTTTGAGTTTTGCAAAGTGTTTTTTCAATATCCACTGAAGAAATTTTTCTTTAACTCCACTTCCCAGAGTTTTAATGGGTTTGTGATATTTCAAAGTTTAAAAAAATCACATGAAATGGAACTATGGCTCCAGCATAATTTTCTACATAAATTTTCTTGGAACTACAGCTTATTCCTTTTTAAATTTTCTAATCAATAAGATTGAAATATTTCCGTTCTAGGTATCCATGAAACCTTCAGTTTAAAATGAACATAGAAGGAAATATTGTTGGGTTGATTTTTTTTCCTCACAATAAACTATTCCAGAAAAGACTTTCTCAAGAAGCTCTTATTTTTCAGGGCTCTGAAGGAAGATACTTGGATTTCGTGGGGAGGGACAGTGATGCTGATGTCCCATACAAATATGTGACATCACCTAGGGCCAGTTCTCCTGGACATACTTTTTACTCTCTTGGCAACAACATTACTTTTTTCCTTGTTTATTGCTTTATGTTATTTTTCACAATGTCTTTTACCTCTCAAACTAAAACTGTGACCAGAAACATATACATAGTACTAGAAATGAGATGGGAAAGGATTTCAAACCCTTCCCACAAGCTATTCCACTGTTACAAACAATTTTGACCAATTTCCCACAGTACATACTCTACAATATCTTATATTATTAATACTATTAGTGTTAGTTATTTGCATATATTATATTATGGCATTATTTCACTTAAGGTATGTTAAAGTATGCTTCTAAAGTCCTTTTACCATCTCACTTGGTTTCAGGGTGAGACCAAGAGTACCCAGGAGAAATCTCTGTGCAACCAGGTTTTCTTTTTAAAGCAGCAACTTGAAAACCCTAATGCAGTTGTACTTTTCTTACTGATTATTCTCAAACCTGACTGAACACAATTCAGATCAGCTGGCTGCTTGTGGGTGACTTCCTTGGTTATTCTCCAAATAACACATCTGTATTGTACTTGGGCAAATAATTTCAAAACCAGCAACTGATTATGTTTTCCTCAGCTCCGGGTGAACTGAGTTTGTTCTTGGGTGACTGCTTAATAGGTAGTGAAATTATGGTGCCTTGATAAATGACACAGAAAATCAGAAAATAAACCAAGCTGTGTCATGCAAAACCATTAAATACTTGCAGAAAGCTTGGCCTCAAGTCCCAAAGCTGTTCTTAAATTACCATGTTACTCCTGCATAAGAAAGGGAAGACTGGAGGCATAAAAAGTGGGACTTCCTTTCTAGAGGGAAATTTGTAACCTGCCATAGACCAGCAAAAGCCTGTGTGAGATGTGTCCCTCATCTGACACCCATCAGACCAGGCATCCTGAATCTTTGTCCCCAGCACCCACAGCATGTTCTAAATGGCCTGTCTGAGTCTAGTACTTAGGAGCAAGAGAGATGCATGGTCCTGCATAACCAGAGCACTGCAGAGGTTAAAGTAATCTACAGGGTAAATCCACAGATTTGCACTGATGTTCCTCAGTGCAAATGCTGGCAAATGTTCCAGCATTTCAACTTCCTTTTTAAAACATGAATGAAGACACAAATGCACTGGAAAGGCCAAAAGGACTTTAGCTCCATCTGTCTTTCCCAGCCAGTTACTAACCCAGTGGCCAGTCTGCAGTCGCAGCCATCTAACTGGAGAAGCAAGGGCTTCCACCATTATCTGGGTGGCTGCAGCCCCCCCATTTTTACCCTTCCCACAGGGCTGGGTTGGTTTCCACCCTGCCAGCCCCTATTCCAGATCAGGTGATATTCAGAAAGTCAGGAGGACTGGGCTAGAGGTGAGGGAAAAGGATTGAAATGGAGTCAGATTAGGCGTGCAAGGCCCGGGCTTGCCAGGTGAGACATAAGAAGCAGGAGGGATGGAAAAGCACAGGTTCAAGTCATGTAACAAACAAATAAGGAAGCAGATTAGAAGATACGTTGTTTTTTTAAGCCTGCCCATGCTGCCCCTCACCTTGGAGAGGGAATAATGGGTAAATGAGTTAAGAGTGTGTAATAGTTTGTATGCATAAATAACTCAAAGTATATTATGCTATATGTATAACATATACATATATGTACAACATGTATGCGAGTATACATCACATACATGCAGTAATCTCCACAAAATGAATACAAAAAATGCGCCCTGTGTCTCTTCAAATGTGTGTGGCCCTTATTAGGCCAATTTTAATGACCCTGAGTATTTAAAAATATAAAGAAGTAAAAACTACAAATGTGTGGAAATTCTAAAGGCTCATGGCACACATGTATGCATATCTTGATACTCAGAACGCATATGTAGCAGCATACTAAAGGTATTTTTAAAGAGCCAGTTCATTTCTTCTGCTTTTTACAACAAAAGTTTAGAAAGCACTAAAATAAAAAAGGAAAGGCTATAAGTATATATAGTTTTAGTTGTTTTGTCTTCTGGGAATTTCTGATGCTGGAAATTTTCTCTCTCTGGTCACTCATGCTTAGAGACACAAGCAACTTCAACTTGGTTTTCTGTCATCCTTGCTCCAGCAAGAGTCTTAGCTCAGTTGTGACATCAATCACTTGGACTATAAATCTCTGCAATGGATATGGCCATTTAAATCTCCACCTGCACAAACAACAATCAGGCCTAGAAAATAAGGAGACTCATAAATCTCCACACTGGTGATTATTGATATTTTGGATTTGCAACAGCAATGTTATTAAAAAAAAAAAAAAGTAATCCATTAATTAGGACTGATATGCTGACAATCTATTTAGTTGAGTTTATATACAGAGAAAACACAAACATGGCACAGTTAGCACAACATGAATTTAGAAATTACTGAATTCCCAAAAGCCCAAGGCTTGGAGATATGATATCTTAATGTACTTATCCTATTGTGAGGGGGAAGGTGTTATCTTCCAGACAAATGATAAAAAGGTGTTTTTTCTTCTGGCTTTCATGAGCCAAGGAAGAAAGATGGATCAAGAGATAGGCAAGACTTCCTTGCTGGCTATCAAAATTGACACTCTGCCTCCTACTGAAAATGTAATCTGCAGACAGTACACAGCACTCGGCACACATACCAGCTTGGCCCTCCACAGTTTTTGTTGGGTTTTTTTGTGCATTCAGAAAATCCTATGTGATGCTTACACAGATCAGCAAGAAACTTTTCCTGTGGCTCCAGTGACTTTGGATTAACTGTGAAGCCAATGGTGACATCTGAGGCTGCACATTTTCTTCTGGAGCTATGTGAATCCTCAGATAAGCAGCTGAATAAGTGGAATTTCTCCTGCAATAAGAGCAGTCCCTGTGTGCAGTTCTTTAGCCCCTTGTGTTCAACGTCCAGACTGCAGGGCAACCTGTGGGGTTTCAGAAAGTGTGTGAGCAGGGAAGAAGCAACGGGAGCAAGTTCCTGATTCACTGGCCTCTTTGGGCTCCAAATGTGGATTTAGGAGACTAGTTTACATGGAGGGGAAGAAGTGATAGCACAAAGTTAACTGCTTTCAAAAGCCTGCTCTGCTGAGGCTGAACACACAGTGCATAAGTTTGTAACGGCAGCATAAGTCTGTTCATTCAAACTACACAGCAACCCACTCACTCACACGTGTGGCAAAATCACTGGGAATGTTTGGCTTCAGGGGTTGCAGAGCCCGGCCTAATGCCCTCAGTCCCACAGGAGGGGCCTTATCCCTTATCTTGCTTCTTCATTCAGGCAACACCCCTGACTTTTGAGCATGCATGAATCAGCAGACAAAGCAGTCCACGGGTACGGAGGAATGAACCGCTCACATTACTCTGCACGCCAAGTAAAAGTTTCTGTTCTGTGGGAACTCTACCATCCAATAAACCCCCCCTCACACCGTTTCCTTCATTTCATGCACACCCTTGCCACCCTAGCCACAACCACAAAGACCCTCCCCAGCAGAACAACACGCTCCCTCGGCTCAGTGGGGCTCACACAGTGCTGGGATCTTGGCCACTTGGCACACCTGTGGGCCAGGAAGCCTCCGCAACATTCACAGCTGGGAGGACTCACAGACCGACAGGGACCGGGACTTGTCGGACGTCACCCCGGAAGGCTGGAAGAAGTCAGATCCTCCTGCCTCCAGCCCCTGGGCTGTGACGGCAAGGTCCACGCTGCTGGCCAGGCAGCGGAGCACTCCCTTCCTGGAATATGCAACTAGCTGGACAGGATGCGTTCGCAAATATAATCATCCACAAATCTCCCCCAGATTAGGTTACAGGACAGCGTTTCGACGGCACGCATTACAAAGCTCTCTGGAAGGCTTGGCTGGTGGATCTGCTGCTCTCTCTGCTCATGACCCATTTTGGCTTTCATCAAGAATCATGACACCAGCTGCCTGGGTCATCTAGGAGGCAGAGAGGGGGAGAGCAACCCTGGGCTGTAAAGGGAAGTGGGGAAGGAAAAGGGAAGGAGGAGAAGGAGAAGGAGGCGGAGGAAGGGGGAGGATAGAAAGACAGAGCACGGGGAGAGAGAGTAAGTTGTTTTAGTCCAGTTGTGAAGATTTGAATCCCAGTTCCGAGCTCTCGGCAAAGGCTTGCTGGGATACTTCATTCCCTGTCCTGTGCAAAGGTCTGTGATTGGGGATGTGGTGTGCTCAGTGGGCAGGGCCCCTCCCCTGGGCTGGATCCGCCTCTCCTATCCCCCAGATAAATTACTAGTGTCCTCACTAAATTCCTCGGCTTTCTCTCTCCCTTTCTCTCTCCCTCTCTCACACAAACTCACTCCCTCCCTCAAACACAGGCAAAGCAGGGTTGGGGGGCGGGAGGGCGGGGATCCTCTCTGGACTGGTATTGTGCCTTAGTCCTGGGCGGGGAGGGAAGGGGAGGAAAACACTGGAGCCCCTTCTCTCCTACGCCGCCTTGAAATAGATTTGAGGAGCTGCCCTTCTTCCCCCCCTCCCCCCTTTCCTGCTGGTCGTTTGGCATCTTCCAGACCATGTCCACTGGGTCCCTCAGTGATGTGGAAGATCTGCAGGAGGTGGAGATGCTGGAGTGCGATGGCCTGAAAATGGATACTAACAAAGAGTTTGGGGCGTCCACCGAGAGCAACGAGGAGGGATCCAATGGCGAGAATGGCTCCCCTCAGAAGGGGAGAGGGGCCTCGGGCAAGAGGAAAAAAGCTCCCCCCAAGAAGAGCCCTTTAAATGGAGTGAGCCAGGAGGGAAAGCAGGTACAGAGAAATGCTGCCAACGCCAGGGAGAGGGCGAGGATGAGGGTCCTTAGCAAAGCCTTCTCCAGGCTTAAGACCACCCTACCCTGGGTGCCCCCAGACACCAAACTTTCCAAACTGGACACCTTGAGGCTGGCCTCCAGCTACATTGCTCACCTGAGACAGATCCTGGCCAATGACAAGTATGAGAACGGCTACATCCACCCAGTCAACTTGGTAAGTCAGAGTCCGCCGAGGACGGGCACTCCGTGCGTATGCATGGGGAGAGGTGGGCGAGCAGCTGGCATGGGGCGTGTGCGGGGACAAAACTTTGCTGTGCTTCTCACAGAGAGCCTGGTGCCGCTGGGGTGGAAAGCGGTATGTACAGGGGGACAGGCTCCCTGCTGCCCTGTGCCCTGAGCACCAAGCTTCCCAGGCCCCCTCTGCTGCTCCTAGCAATCCCTTCCCAGAGACAGGCAGCCACGCTGACCACAAATAAGCAGGGGCAGGCTTTACACTTTACTGCCCCAGAAACGATTGAGAAACCACAGAGGCTTTCTACCTGCAAGTGGGCAGGTACAGGAATTTGGGTAGAAAAGGGTGTGCTTGAGGAAGGACCCAGGATTTATTCATATCCTGTGTCTCTTCGCCAGTGTTTCCTGACACAATACTGTCCCCAAGCCCTAGCTTTTTAAAGACAGGACTCTTGGGGTTCTGTGCTCAACCGCTCAGATTTGCTGAGTTCAGGAAATTTCTCCTATACCTGTAAACTGGCACAGGAGAAAAAAATACCAAGGCAGACTCTCCAGAGGAGGTGTCTGCCCCAGGCACACTCCACAATGCCACTCCCTGGGCTGTGTGGTGTCCCTGCTGCTGCTCCCACCACATAAAGTTTTCCTGAGCAGCCCTGGATCTCCCGACCATACCCGGCCACCAGAAATATCCAGTTTCCAGCTCTAAAAATATATACAAATTATGTAAACCAGGGGTAAGCAAGATCTGCCTGGGCTCTTTTTAGACATACAGCCTTTACACTGCCCACATGTGTAGACCCTGACCCATAAATGGATCACAGAGGGGAGCTGAGGGACGTTTCACTGAGGTCAGGCTCTGCCTTTTGAGCTCTGGACTCTGGGGGAAAGTACGTTACTCGCTGTGTCAGCTGCTAAGGGCCTGGGAGATAATTTTTGATTAAAAACAAAATCCTCAGTGCAACAACGTAGGAAAAAAAATAAAACCAAACCAGCACCCAGTATAGATATAACCTCCCTCCTCTTCCGCACCCCACAGAGGCGCACCAAAACATTCCTCCCGAGACGTGGGAGGCCAGGGAGAGCGGCCGGGGCCCCAAGAGCTCCTGCGCCCGGGGTAGCGCGGCGGGGCGTGAGGAGGCTCCCGCGGGCCGGAGCCCCCACGCCGCTCTCGACCAAAGGCGAGGGTGCCCGCGGCGATTATGCCGGGGCCATGCGAATGTGCGGGAGCCAGACGGCTCCTTTCTCCCTCCCTTCTGCCGCGTATCAGACGGGCTTCGCCGCCCCGAGGACGCCCGGTGGGGACCGCCGGGGCTGTGAGGCAAAGCGGCATCAGCCGCCGGGGAAAGGCAAAAGGGTCCTTGCGAAGCCAGCGGCTACTGCCCCGGCCTGAGCCCCGCTGAGCGCTGCCCGAAGTGGACTCAGGTGGGGAATGCCGGGCTCGGTCCCCCCGGACGCTCCCGAGCCGGACCCGCTGGCGATATGAGCGCTGCAATGTGCATTTCTCCATGTGTAACCCCCTTCCCACTCGTGTCTTTTCCTGGCTACAGACTTGGCCTTTTATGGTAGCCGGCAAACCCGAGAGTGACCTGAAAGAAGTGGTGAACACAAACCGCTTGTGCGGCCCGACGGCATCCTGAGCCCCGCGGCCGGGCCAGCAGCGTCCGTCCCGGCGCGGCCGTGCAGCGGGCGGCGGGGCGGGCAGGGACCCGCCGCTGTCCCGGGCCCCGGGCAGAGCCACGGGGAGAGCCGCTCTCCCGGCGCAGAGGAGACCAAACATGCCCTAGCAAAGACTCCATCCACCCCGAGAGATCCTGACTCTATTTAACTTTATTAAATGCGTGTACAGTCGAGTGTCCTGCAACCACAGCCTTGCTGGTTCAAGAGCTACTAGAGAAAAGACAGAGATCAAACAAAATCTACCCCGCGTGTATCTTTTGTCTGAGACCTGTGAAATATGTAGATGCCTAGAAAAACTGACTTTGACAGTCATCTCTATGAACTAATTCACCCTAAAGATATATAGATATATTTTCTTCAAGCAGATTCTGCTCTATTTCTGTGAATAAACCTTCCTTTCTACTGAACACGGAGCGGTGTTAAGTGTTCGTTTGAGACTCTCGGGCTCGGCGGGGGAAGGACTGAGCCTCCGCCGGCTCCGCCGCTCCACGAAGCGGCCGCGCTGCGGGGATCGCGCCTCTCCGCCCCGGGCCACAGGAGGTCTGCTTCCCCGGAGATAAGGACCTGGAGCACACCCTGGGGGAGGGGGAGACTGGGTCCGCAGCTCGCCGCGGGAGCCCGGCCCGGCTCCGCAGCCCGGCGCCCGGGCGCTGCGGGAGCCGCCCCCGCCGCTCCGGCCGCTCCGCTCCGCTCCGCTCCGCGGGGACAGGAACCGGGAGCTATTGATGAAGTACAGTCGGTCCTCAGCGCAGGGAATTTTTAACTTAAACATCTCCTCTCTATCGATCAGCGCACCCGTGGGAGATGAGGCTGAGATAAACAGGAGTGCGGGGCGCTCCCCCTGCACCGGCAGCGGCCGCCGGCAGCTGATGCGCCAGATCCCACCGCGCTGTTTAATGTTTCAGGGTTATGACCGCACTGTTTACAAGATGTCTTCGGTTATTTATACTGTTATTATTAGCACAGGGGCTTTAAATTTCCGCCTCACTTGCTCTTTCAATACCAACCCTCGGTTCCGTTTGATACCTGGGTACTTTCTTGCCGAAAGCAGGAGAGGGGCGGCAGGGGCTGCAGGGCCGTCCCCCGGACCAAGCCCTCCGTCCCCGCTGGTTGCGGGGGGCGGCAGGGCCCGGGGAGCGGTCACAGGCAGCGAGGGGGCCACAGACCCTCCCGGGGGCTCCCTCCCCTGGGTATCCCCCGCAGGCCGGTGTTGAGCTGCCTCGGGCGTCCATGCAGCCTGGACTGTGTTAATTCTCATCCCCCACTTTCCCCCGAGATAACTGGATGAGGTGGCGCGTCCTCCAGGCGACCCAAATTCACCAGTCGGGTTCATGCGTGGGCTAGGTTAGCTTTAATTAAAGCAACTCGCTGTGAACCGAGGGCTATGCAAACATCTCAGCCCTCATTATGAAAAGGGCCAGGACATGCTGTATCATCCTAATGGTTGTGGAAGGGAGAGCTGTTTAATTTCACTTTTGTGCAGCTTTATCCCCTTGCCACACAATTAAGAGCAGACCTCTCTTAGTGCCAGGCCTAACCGTGCACAGCCTCGCTGTTCTGGACAGGACTGAGCCAGGTGAGATGAGCGCTTGCATACAGGGCCTTGATCAAATTTGTGGCCACACACAGACCCTGAACAGCCGCAGCTTCTGCTCAAGAGATGAGCAACGCTGGTAACCATGGCTGAACAGGCTGATTTGCTGATTTCTTTGCCACAGGCACAGGGAAATTCAGTGGGAATTGCTGGTCTATTAAAGGGAGACAGAATAGAGTCCCCATCCTCACACTGAGTGCAGGTGACTGATGCAACAAACACACATTTTAACCTCAAAATTTACTCACTGAATTGACACTAACCATTGGATTTAACCACTCAAAATCTCAACTTAAATTCATACTAACTAATGCCTGGTCAAGACTCATAGCAAGGTGTAGATTTCCTTCTAAAAAGCAGAAATTGATATACATCTGAGATACGCATAAAATTGAGTTGAATTCTGAATATTCTAACACACACTTCTTTACCATCCTGTCTTGCAATTCTTGCTAACTGCACTCAGCACCTTCCCAGCTAATTAACCATGTGCAGTGTTCATTCGCCACCTGAAATACAACACTGAAGAAAGGGAAGGGAGGAATATAATGGCACCCCGTGAAAAGTGAGGAACACAGCTGCAACCATGTGCCAAAAGCTGCAGGAACAGTAAGTGTTGAAGATGCTTACTGTGTACACTGTACCAGCGGCAGACACCGCTGCTTCTCGTACTGCTGTTCGCTTTATCTAGCAGTCTACACTGCAACTGTCTTGGGGAATAAACTATTCCTCGAGCATCCTGCACCTTCCTCAGCCCTTGCCTCTGAGCAACAGTTCAGCAACAAGGAAACAAAAAGCAACAAGAAATGAACAAAAGCAACCAGCGGTACACAGAAAGGTAAATAATGACTTTGCTGTGACTGTAAAATAATTAGTGGCTTTATCTCTATCTCTTTATCTTTATTTTGAAGACAATGAACATATTTTCCAGAGGCATTTAGGTGGCTGCGAACTCCTGGTCTGCTGACCTCTTGTGTTAAGGGCACAGACACAACAGTAATGGCACAGTGCTGGCAGCTGGCTTCAACAGCCCAAGTTTCTTAGATGAATTAAGAGTTCTACTATGCACTTCAAGAGAACAATGAATGAAATTATTCTACCCTGCTGCTGAGTGCAATTTTACCGCAAAATATTTGCAAACAGAAAATGTATGTTTAGTCTGACTGAAGCAATTTACACTTTTGAAAGGAACTCGCAAATGTGCTAAGGAAAAGAGGGAACTGGTTTAAATATTGATGTCAATGACTTTAAAGAAAGTATTTTGTTTGCTTTCTTGCTTTTCTGTACAAAGTGATGCATTTTATTATTTACTGAAATATACTTATACCCCTTTTTCATGTGGAAAAAAGTTGACTTGGTTTATCTTTTTGTATCTACAGGGATGTAGATGCAGCTGTGTGAGTGTCTGTATACATTCCCTCCTAGTAATGTTTGAACTCATTGCCTGATTTCAGCTAGATTTGACAGAGGTCTCAAAGATAACTAAGTTACTATAATTTTTAATATTTCTGTGTGTGTGTGAATACAGACAGCTGAGTAAAGAAAAAGTCTATAAATTTTGTAACTGCAGGAAGGGTTTCAACATGAGCTCAGCCTTTATTGGATACAAGAGCATATATAGAGCAGAGTATCAGCTGTAGAAGAAGCTCCAAATGCTGCTTCAGTCACAGGATACAAGTTCATAGAAAACTTGCATATGGACCTACATGTTTTAAGATAAGAACTCTACAAAAGCCGCTTAGTTCGATTTGATTTTAATACTAGTATTTGTTTGTTTGTTTGTTTCTTTGTAAAGAAACCAGTTTCAACCCAGCTACATTTTTCAATTCGGCTAGAGACTAGCAAATCCTGTATTTGTAGTGCTGGCTCAGTGCTCAGGATCCTGGGTTTGGTACTGACATTGTGCTCCTTCACGGAAACTTTCACAGTCTGTAAAGTCTTACAGAAAATACCTTTTAGGCTTATCTTATTCTCTCACTGGGATGGAAATCTGCCAGCCTGAAGCATCGGCATAGCAAGAACCCCACTCTGCAGACACCTGCAAAATGCCGTGCAGCTCTGGGCTCTGACGGGGCAGCGAGGCCATGGTGCTGGTCATGCCCTCAAACGTCAAGGTGCACAAGGAGAACATGTGCGAGATAGCCTATTCTTTAAAGGGACTCCGAGGTCAAAATTCCCAGCCTGCCTCAGAAAATAAAAGGCACAGAAAATCTTTGTGGTTTCTTCTGTAGGGAAGATGGTTTGAATCCTGGACATAATGATAAGATCACAAGCACAGTTTTGCTTGACATATTTGTAACCCCTCAGTTGCGTCTGCCTGAAAAAAACTTGCCCCCTTTTAAAAAATCACATATATTTTTCAAAAGGCAATTTTTGCCAAAACCCTCTTGTCATTTACTTTCATTATAATTTGTAGTAAAAAAAAAAATTAAATATTCAAAATATATTTGGTAATTGCAGGTTATAAACTTTCTAAAAGAGAACAAAACACATATCTGGGTACAAGTGGAGTACAATCTGATAAAATTGATGGATATTTTAATTTTTGTCTGGATATCTGAATGCAGATTAGCACTCACAGTCTCCCAAAAGGGACAGGATTACAAAAGAAAATTCAATTACATTGACACAAATTTTTATTTCAATGAAATTGAAATTTGTAGCAGCGAACAAGCAAGCATTCTATAATTGCCATGTATATACACACCTGGAAAATCCTCCATACATAGAATTTCTCCCAACAGTCAGATTCAAATTGTTTGTGTTCACTTCTGGCCCATGTAGTGCTGACTATTCCCATATTAAGGCTGCACTACCAAATGCAGGCCCATAGGGCAAATACCATCTTGTGCTCACTATTCAGCCACGGATTGTTTCATGCTCTTCAGCCCAGCATAGCTCAATGGAGGGGAAGTGGCACAACCAGTAATAACGGCACTTTTCTGTCACTAGTGCTGCAGAGCTACTGAGGGTTTGGGGAATTTCTACAATTCTGAGATGCCATAGGTGTGATTAAAAGTTATGCTCCAAGAAGGATGGGGAAAATCCATGTGTTACCTTTGGGAGGACTGTTGCCAGCAGACTGCGAAACCAGCAAAGTTCTGCAAGTAACCAGTTTCACTTCAGACACTGGTGTCTCCGAGTGTAAAACTGACTGTGAGTAGGTCCAGGCAGGAAAGTCGTCCCATTTCCCAAGTGCGGCACGGACATACCCTAGGGTCACAACAGTCCAGGGATGACGCATTTTCTTGCCTTAGGGTTTTGCCCTTAAACTGAAACTTGTAAACAGATGAAATGCGTTTTTAAGCCAACGCGCATGTGTGCACTCAGTTACACCATCCTCAAAGCCTCCTTGCGAGGAAAAAA